AGCAGATTTGAATAATGCAATATGTCATTTGATTTCTTGGTTGCTGCTTTCATGAGTGTTGACTGTGGACCCAAACAAAATGAAGTCTTTGACAATTTCAATCTTTTTTTCCATTTAATATGGTGTGATTTATTGGTCCAGTTGTGCAGATTTTTGTTTTCTTTACATTGAAGTGCAATCCATACTGAAGGCTTTGATCTTCATCAGCTAATATTTTAAGTCCTGATTTTACTTCCAGAAAGTAAGGTTATATCACCTGTTAATGGGTCTTCCTCTAATCCTGATGCTGCATTCTTCTTCATATAATCCAGTTTCTTGGATTATTTGTTCAGCAGACAGATAAAATGAGTGTGGTAAAAAAAATACAACTCTTGAGCACACCTTTCCTGATTTAAACCATTCAGTATCCCCTTTTTCTATTTGAACAAATGCCTCTTGGTCTCTGTACAGGTTCTTCATGAGCACAATTAAGTGTTCTGAAATACCCATTCTTTGCAATGTTATATCCATAGTTTGTTATGATTCACACAGTCAAAAGCCTTCACATAGTCAATAAGGCACAAGTAAACATCTTTCTGGTATTCTCTGCTTTCAGCCAAGATCAGTCTGATGGTAGTCAAGATATCCCTTATTCCACTTGGTTGTTAAGAACCATCAAATTGGTTCCAACTCATAGCAACCATGTATAGGGTTTCTAAGGAGTGGCTGGTGGGTTTGAACCACCAGCCTTCCGATTAGCAGCCCAGTGCTTATCCTACAGCACCACACCAGGACTCCATGTTCCACAGTGAGATTGAGTAATTTAATTGAATAATGCTATTGATCTTCGCTTCATTTTGGGTCCTAGTTCTTTAAGTGTCCCTTTAGTATTAAGAAATGTCACATTAAAGGTGGTGGTCATTGGTGGTTGTGTTCCACCAAGTTGGTTCTGATTCATAGCAACCCTTCATAGGGTTTCTGAGGTTGTAAATCTTTATGTTAGCAGAAATCCTCATCTTTCTCCTATAGAGCAAATGTTAGATTTGAACTGCTGATCTTATCATGAGCAACCCAGCTGATAATCCACTATGCTACCAGGGAAATCAGTAGCTTATGTTAGGCACAGTGGTTAAGCTCTTGGCTACTAACAGAAAGGTTGGCAGTTTGAAGCCACCAGCTTCTCTGTGTGAGAAAGATGTGACAGTCTGCTTCCATAAAAATTACAGTCTTGGAAACTCTATGGGGCATTCTACGTGCTCCTATAGGGGCTCTCTGAGTCAGGATGTACTCTATAGCAATGTTGTATACTTGTTTGTTTTCATACCTCTGAAATATTAAGGGGTAAGCAGTCTGAAATGACCAGCCATTCCATGGGAGAAATATGAGGCATTCTGCTCCCCTAAAGGTTTTACAGCGTTGGAAGCTCTATGCAGGATCGCTATGATTCAGACTGACTCCATGGCACACCACTACCACTACCACCACCATCACCAAAGTACTAAAGAGTCCTGGTGTGGCACTGTAAGGTAAGCACTGGATTGCTTAACACACTGTCAATGATTCAAACCTACCAACCACTCCTCAGAAACCATATACAGGGTCACTATGAGTCAAAACCAACTCAACAGCACTTAACAACAACAAAAAAGTATAAAGTCACTTCAAGTTGTTGTTATACAGAAGAGAATACTCCTGAACTAGATCTTAAAAATGAATGAAAAACAAAACAAAACAAAACAAAACACAAAAAACAAAAAGAGGAACAAAGAAAGAACAGGACAAACAGAACTAAATAAACACAAAATGAACAAAGATGTAGAGGCAAATTTAATTTAAGAGAAGAGAATGGCATGGTTAGATCTGCCTGTTTACATACCTCTTATGTAAAGAAGTTACAGTTAAGAGATGAAAGCTGAAGCATTGGGCAAAAGTGATACCGAATGCCAATTTTGCCATTATTTGTGTGGTTTTTTAGGGGGTAGGGGGTGCCAGGGGGTTGTTCTTATTTTTCATACAATAACTGTGAATTCAATTCATCCCTTCTGTTAGAGTACCAGTCTTGACTCAGATTGTAGGTTGTATGAGAGGGGAAGCCTTGTCAATAAGATTAAGCCTTGTTTAAAAGCTCATGCACAACCATCTAAGGTGCAATTATTGGTCTCTCCATGTGTGGAAGAAAGAGGAGTAATGAGAACTGAAGATGCTTGGGATCAGTTAGTCCAATGGACTAATGGAACATGTGACCATCCGTCCCCATGACTCTGAGACCAGAAGAACTAGATAGTATCTAGCTATCACTTACAACTGTCTGAAGGTGATCACACTAGAGGGTCCTGGATAGAGTGGGAGAAAATGTGGAACAAAACTCAAAATTATAATTTAAAAAAGACCAGTATTACTTGTCAGAAAGAGATTGGAAGAACCTATGTTCTTAGACTACCCTTCAGGTCTGGAAAAGACCTTACCCTCATGGCCCAATTTTCAGCCAAGCACTAGATAAATTTATAAGGGATAGACAACAACACTAGTAAGGTGTGATCACCATGGAATGGTCAATCATTCAAAATCAAAATGGCACCATTTACTTCAGGACACAGGTAAGAGGTGATGGGAAGTTGGGTGTAATGGAAATAGGAAGCACAGGGAATAAGCAGATTAACTGGTGTTGCATGGAGAGTATTGTAATAATTGAGATGAAACGAAGTGTCTGATTTGTTCAATGTAAAATGATGGTCTTGTCTGTAAACTTTCACTCAGTTCACAATTAAAAAAAAAAAAAAGATTGACAACTCTATGAGTAAGAATTAACTTTTTCACAGTGGGTATGAGCATCAAAAGAAGATGGAAGGACTACACAGAGTCACTGTACCTAAGGAAATGGTTGATGTTCAGCCATTTCAAGAGGTAGCATATGATCAAGAGCCAGTGATACTGAAGAAAGAAGTCCAAGGTGCGCTGAAGGAATTGGTAAAAAAACACAAAACAAAAACAAGGCACCAGGAATTGATGGAATAAAAATTGAAAGCTTTCAAGAAAATGAGGCAGCACAGGAGGCACTCACTCATCTATGACAAGAAATATGGAAGACAGCTCTCTGGCTGACTAATTGGAAGAGATCCCTATTTGTGCCCATTCCAAAGAGAGGTGACCCAACTGAATGAGGAAATCATCAGTCAGTATCTTTGATATCCCATGCGAGTAATGTTTTACTAAAGGTAATATAGAAATGGCTGGAAGCATATATTGACAGAGAATTTCCAGAGGTTCAATCTGGATTCAGAAGAGGACCTGGAATGAGGGATATCATTGCTGATGTCTGATGGGTCTTGGCTGAAAGCAGAGAATACCAGAAATATGTTTACCTGTGCTTTATTGACTACACAAAGGCTTTCGATTATGTAGATCATGACAAGCTATGGACAAAATTGAGAAGTATGAGTATTCCGGGACACTTAGTTGTGCTCATGAGGAATCGGTACATGGACCAAGAGGAAGTTGTTCAAACAGAACATGGGAACACTGAATGGTTTGAAATTAAGAAAGGTATGGGACAGGATTATATTCTTTCACCATACTTATTCAGCCTGTATGCTGAGCAAATAATCTGAGATGCTGGGTTATATGAAGAAAAACGTGGCATCAGGATTGAAAATTAATTAACAACCTGCAATATTCAGATGATACAACCTTGCTTGCTGAAAGTGAAGAGGATTTAAAATACTTACTGATGAAGATCAAAGGACACAGCCTTCG